TTTATGGTTTGATTTCTTTGTATGTATGGATCACTTGGGTTGTTACCAACATCTGGTGAAAATTTCATGTCATTAGCACCTCTAGTAATATATTTACTGAGAAAAATGTTGACGTGTTCAAAACTTATTTTACCCGCTGTATAAAGGAAAGCTGTGCAGGAACATGCTGCGCACAGTTTTACACATCAGAATATTTTGGTGTGGAGCACTTTTCTAAATTTGTCCGTACGTCAACTTTTAGTGTGAAAGCTGCGCAATCCTTTACGCATGAGGCCCCTGGAGTGAAGAGGAAAATATTTCTTATTGAACAACTTCTTCATACAGCCACAATTTTCACGATACACAGACAAATTACAGTATGTATCAAAATGTGAACATTTCTCTCTTTCAGCCAATATTTCTGGTTTTGCTGTAGGACAAATGGTTTTCTCTCAAAGTACATCAGAAGTCAGTGTAGTACCACTTCTCATGCCATCTTGTTTAAACTTTTGTCACGCTGCAGTTCAGAAGCAAAATAATGACTAATTTTAAGTTGTCACAACTCTAAGACAAAGCACTAAAAATTTGAAAATGTCCATGATTAATCACCAATCTCTTCTCTTACTCAGTGCAAGAATTACACTTTACAGAAATATAAACTCAACACTTTTGTTCTGCTCCCATTCTTCATGAGCTGAACTCAAAGATTTAAGACTTTTTCTTTGTACACAATAGACCTTCAAATATTTTTCATAAATTTGTGTAAATCTGTGTTAGGAGGCACTTCTCCTTTGCAGAGATAATTCATCCCAGCTTGCAGGTGGGGCATATCAAGATGCTGATTAGACAGCCTGATTATTGCAAGGCTGGCCACAATAAAAAGCCTGGACCTGTGAATGGCTGTAGTGTAAAGTTCTTTAGAGTCGTTTGACTTGATAAGGCACTAATCAGGCCATTTAATATGGTTAACTTGTGAAAATAAAAATACTTTTACATCAAAGCACTGTACATTTGGAAAKAAAACATCTATTTCCATCATTATTTCTGAGTAAAAAAACCTTTGAAACTGTATTCTACATGCATGTGAAACATTTCTTTTAAAATTACTTCTTGTGATTTTTGTTGTGTCCCACACAAGGAGAGTGCAGCTTTGTCTCAGCGGGGGTGTACAACGGCACTGTTTTCAGCCGGATATTTCAGATCCTTTACAGAAACGAGGAGATTGCAGTGAACGACTGGATGACCTTCAAAGTCCACCTGCTTTTGGATGTAGACAAGGTGAGTCAAAACAACGAACTGATTAAAAGCAGGGAAAGCATCTTAACCAGTGTTAATATTAGCTTATACTTCATGATTTAGAAACATTGGGCCTCATGCAAGAACCGTTCGTACGCACAGATTTGTTCTTAAGTTGTGCATACGAGTGATTTAGGAG